AGTACAGTAACAGTGAGAAGGTTTTTGCATTTTTTTTGCTGTATTTGATGCTATTTTAGAGGCGTTTCCAAATAAATACAGGTGGGTATACGCCTTTATTATTAAGCTTTATAATACAGATGTCCAAAATTGCCGGTTTTCAAATTTATTGCAGCTGTGTGGTTGGGAATGAAAGCAATTTGAAAGCTGCACAAGAAAGAATAAATAATAAAATAATTTTGTTTAACGACTGTAATAAAATGAACAGTAAGTTTTTCTGTTGTAGTCACTGGTTTCAGCGAGCTGTGTTGAAAATGACAGCTGGAAACTAGACAAAAAAGAATTATGTGAAATATTTATAGGAGAGAAATGGTTTTTGTTAAATGTTTTACTATCATTTAGCAAAAGCTCTTCAAATGTTTCATCTTGCATCAAATGACCTACATAAGATAACGGATTCTGTTGCCAACGTTTTTACAAAACATTTACTGCGTTTTTTTTTTTGAACTTGTTTTCGTTTATTGCTAAATTTTGAACGTTGTTTTTTTCCCCGTCCTTATGATGATCTCACTTAAACCCGCCGCCACAACGGGCTATTTAGCACACCAACATTTAGTCATTAATTAGAGAACGCTGTAGCTAGCGCTATAAATTGTAACTTGAAGCGTAACAAGTTTGGAGCTGAATTTCGAAAAAGTTAGGTGCTCTATTGCTTGGGGAAATATTGTTGTATTTTGTTTAAACAAGAAGAATTATGATGCAGAATCAGGTACATCACGTGGGCGGGCGGTCGTTTGATCGGTGCAATAGTTGTTGATCTGTTCCGATAGACCAAACAACGAGCTGCATAGAATTTTTTATATTTCCAGATTATCTCATTCATTTTTGACTAATCTGTTCAAAAGGTAAAAATTGACAGACGGTATTGGGTTTTAAGCGCGTAAAAAACGGTATTCAGAACAATTTAGTTGCAATATCTGGCCAGTTTGGTTGCTCTTTCGTATTCTACCAGTTCCAGTTTTCAACTGAACTCATGTAGTTTAGCGGCAGAGTGTAATTAGGGTTTTTAAACCTTGTTTGTTTCTTCCTTTTTATCTAAGATGCATCTAGATAACAGTGCATTGTCTAAAACCTACGGCAATGTAAGAAAACAACTTTGGTGATCTTGCTGTGTTTTACATTTTTTCCTACCAAGCATTTTTTGATTTTAAGACCGAACTGAAGTACTGATTCATTGGACTAAGTTAAAATTAAGTTTTTAGGTTAGTGGTGTTGGATAATAAGACTTTGATAAGTCACTCAATGGAATCAACGTCAGATAGCCAACCCCAAGAAACTTTCCTACGGTTCTGATACTGTGCTGCCAGATTGAGGGAATTCGCTTAATTATATTTTTGTTGTTGTTGTGTACGAAATCCAGAAGTGTTTGTTCGCATGATCATCGTTATCTTAAAAATTTTCCAGTTATGCACGTTTGTATAGTCAGTAGACGGTTCTTAAACATAAAAATGTAGTGTGCAGAACAGTTTAAAGGCTATTACTGATCATTAATAGCATGTTTGTCGTTGTTAAATAATGCATTCGTTGCGCCATTCAGGCGGCTTATTAGTTGCTTGTTTGTTGAATTTTCACTTTTCTGTTTCGCCAAAAACGGAGAAAAGAACAGTCATTTGAAGGGGCAAAATATCTGTGATTCATTGGAAAGGTAAATATTTTGACAGCATTCAGTCGTGGAAAGGGAAATCTTTTTCTTTTTTTTTTTTCTTGAGGGGGGAAGGGGGTATCTTCACTCTTCAAATTATTAATGCTTTTTTTTTCTTTGTAAAAACCTAAGAAAATCAAAGGAGTCTTTTTCAGATTTTCGATCACTGGCTATCATGCTTTTGCCTTTTCCTATGGCAAATATACACCTTTACTTTTGTCCCTGTATTGTTTTATTTATTTGTATTACAACCTCCGATCGGGAAGCCAGTAGTGCTGGGTCGTCTGGTTGGCGGATGGTGGCTTTAAGTTTGAGTCAATCAATCAAGAATTTTAAAACGGACTTTTAGAATTTTCTTACATTAGTATCATACATGTAGAGGATCGTTTTGAAATACGTATATGTCGAGGGAGGGCTTTCAATTTCTGAATGTTCTTAGTTGTTTTTTTTTGCTCTGCTTCTGATTTGGTGTGAAGAACGACGTTTACAGTCGGAGTGCTCAGTCATGCTCGATATACTTCTTTATTTCCTTCGCTTTCCTCTGCGCATTACCATCTCTTGCTATTTTGTTTCTGCAAAAAAAAAAAAAAATCAAAATTTTATAGAAGTCTTTTTCCAGAAAAAATATTTTTTCCAGCCGTTCACGAGAAAATTACCCAGTTGGCTATATTTGAAATGTGCAGGAGCACCGTTTACAATTTCAGCATGCAGTAACGCTCATTTATTTTGTTTTGCTTTAGATACTTTTCAGTTCTTACGCCTTTGGAGGTTTAATGATGGCTATTGCATTCGTCTGATTTTAAAAATAACTAACTGTTAGGCTAGGAGAGTTATATACACTTGCTCAGAAAAGACCAATTTCAGCAGCATTTTGGCCACCCGGCAAGATGCTGTGAACCACTGGAGTCTTCCAGGATAGTGACGTTAACAGCATCTGAGAAGGATGTGTCCACTTCCCCTGATACTTCCTGTACTTACCTCTCGGCCCTTCAGTGGTTTCTCCCGCAAGTTTAAACACTGCTTGATTCTTAGTTTGCCATCTTTTCTCCCAACTTTACCAAAGTCTAAATTTTTCTTGACCTCTGATCGATTAAAACAAAACTGTCTTCATCCGCAGTAGCACAGCAGCTTGTAAAACTTCACCAACAGTTCCAGTTGATTCGCCTCAAATACGTTGGGTAGATGGTGAGCTAAGAGAGGGGACGAGATTGTTGGAAGTGTTTTGACGGTTGTTCTATTTTGACTAGTCTAGAAACTATATTTGAGTAAATCTGTTTTTTGCTTCTTTGAAAAGAAAGGGGAGAAGGGGTTGCTTGTAATGCCACAAAGGTATTTGTTACTGACGTGGAAACAAACCATCAACCAGGCGGAAGAAAGAGAACTTACTTGACAGGACTAATTTCTCGACATGAAAGGTGTCACTTTGAACAGCCGTTATGCAAACTTTATGAAACATAACATCATTTGCTCAAACCAATAGTAACATTAGAACTTGAAGGTTGTTAGTTTGATGTTCTATATTTCATAACAAGTTCGGACCAGTGAGGTCTAGTAATGAAAGACTGTAAAGTAATTGCTGAACAGCACATAAACTCTTCCGGTCGTTCCATCCCAACAGTGTTGTTCTCCTGTAAGCTCTAGGTTTCGTCCCTTCCCGTCGCTGTTGTGTAATTGACCGTAGTCAGGCTGTCATAATATCCTTGACAAGGTTTCCTAAACTTCAATTTCTTATCTTTCATTTGAAGTAATGAGGTACAAAGGAGAATGTTCCGATTAACAAAAAAAGATGAATAATTTTGCAGATGACTGAAACAATAATTATTTTTGATCTTCTAATTCATTCATACTTTTACTAGAAATTGTTCTAAAACATGTATTATTGACGTTTACTGGAAGGAATCTTGCAGTTTTTGTGTGGTATTCTACCAAATATGTCATTTTCCAGATTAAACTAATAATTTTTTGTTCAATATGGGGAACAAACAATCTGCATCATATGACCTGAACGATGGATCGGTGAAACGAATTGATCAAGTAAAAGACACAGTACCGACGTCAGCTGGAGACAGCGGCGTAACTGGTAAAAAATTGGTAACAAATTCTAATGAAAGTCCGCCTTTACAGGTTTGTTTTTCCTAAATTTCTCCATCATTTTTGTTCATTTCTCACCTGTTGCTAGTTAGAATTGGCGCGGGTTGAACAAGCAAGTTAACAGGACTAGTTACCAGCTCCCTTACTGCACTTTACTGGATGAAACATATTGGAAATTGCGGCAGAATTATGACTGTAGTGATAGCTCCATTATTTGATAAGATATGCATAAAGAAGAATGTAGATGAAAGCTGAAAAATTTTTTTTTCAAAACATATTTCCTTTAGCGCATGACACATAACCACTAGTGTATGAAGCTTCAGTATAGTGGAAATACAGCTACAGCGTTCTAAAAACGATGGCAGATTGAGCTTCCGTTACTCACAAAGTAAAGAGGTAGAGGTTGTGAGAGAGGAGTATTACATTCATGTTTGGGATACATTTAAGCTTTAATAAGTTTGTCCATACAATAAAATTTTTATTGTAAAGGCAGGTGGCCTGATGTGTGTCACATGGTCATTGTCCAGTCTCAATGCAACGAACTTATTTCAGCTTGCAGACCATTCATTCATTTCCGTTTTTCTTAGTAATTGTCGAAATATTTGAACAATGCCTGTTCAAATGGTTGATTCATTTAGCATTTGGACCGAGTGGAACCACCACCAGACCTACCAATGAGAGCTCCGAAAGCGTGAAAAGCTGGAGGACGCGGCGTTGCCACTAACAGCAAGCAAGGTAAATAAACGACGAGTAGTAATTGTGCCCTACATAACTGTTTTTAATGAAGAAGCTGAAGTCTATTGTAATCATTACTTCACAAGCGGTCTAACATTTAAAACTTATAATTTGCCTGGGTCTATTGTATGTGATACGTATCTTCGTAGTCATTGTGTCAGTATAAATCCCACCCTCTAGGTATTTTAAAACTGAAATTGAACATTACAGGATGACCAGTGCTAAGTGTTTTTGTTACTGTTACTATTATTATTATGATCATCACTGAACTGGCAATTCTCCGTCTGTATTGTTGACTACAAAAGAAACTACAGAAAAAACCAAACAGTCTTTACATATTCGAAAGTTGCAGCTTTACAATGTTTCTCGGTTAAGGCGATGATACCAATGACTGTCAAACCTTCTGTAGTTCGATTTTATACTATAGATCCTTTATGCTAAACGCTTAAAGCTCATTTATGTAAGGCAGATATCTAGGTTACTAATTTTTTAGTTCCATGAATTCTGCTGAACTTGTAATACTGATCTCAAAATAAACGGAAGTCAATCAATTTACTAGTGTTTTGCCAAAGGTGGGAAAAGAAACTTATCTACATGAACTCGGGTGAATCCAGCAACTCAGGGGTAAAAACTGGGTCACTCAAATTATACCTGTTTTTCCATCTACCTTACAAATTTCCTAATGCAAGCTGGTTCTTACTCTTTACCAAAAAACTGTCAGCTCCGCTCACCTTTAGGTGAAACACATCTTTGCACGGTTGCCAGGCATCCTTGAGTGTTCCAAATACTGGGACACTCAGCTTCACCTATCACGAAAACTTGGTAGAAGGAAACTGCTGACTGCTCCTCGAAAAATGCAGTTCGCCTACTGATCTAGCCTTAAGGCGAGTCTAGAAATTTCATCTTACTAAAACCAACTCCAAACAAATTGGTGCGGTTTAAGTTAGGCACAATGGAACCAGTCATCAGCTTTCCGATTCGTTCAATAGCTGTACATAATGAAAGTCTTACACCACCGCCCACCTAGATTTTTTGAAGTTCTCGACTCTATTTCGAACCAACAACTGTTGTTACAGCCAGCATTAGATAAACTAGCAGCATCCAATAAACCCGATTTCAATTTGACTTCTTCCCTAAAATATATGTATATATAACTTTTCTTAATTGAAACCTGAAAGCAAAAGCAGATATGGAACAGATCGTTTATCGAACGCTCAATCCATAACAAATCATCAATAAATCTTTCACCTCAAACAACTTTTATTAGCGTATTTTAAAAGGAAGTATAAACAACAGAATCTATCAAACTTTTTGTGCTTTACATGTCCAAGTATAATACATGCATTTTATCAAAACATTTCCTTGCTACACAACCAAACATATTCAAAATAAAAGTAGAATAACATTTCCTTAATTAATAACATCAGTAAGTTAAGTGAAGCTGACTGTAACAAGAAAGAATCTATAACGACTCTTTGCAATTACTAAAGCAACGAATAATTTAGATTGTGCAAAGTAAATCTACTAAATTGCCTACGTTTTATAACCTCTGACGGTATTTGGTATACTCACTGTTTTAAGCAACCGTTTTCGTCAGATAAATATTAATAGATGCGACTAACTCTTGCAAGACGATGGAACATGACTGCATTTAATCTGAACGACAATGTAGCACAGAGAAATCCTCGACCGTAAGAAAAAATACACAAGCTAAACAAGCAACCCAATAAAAACAAACCACAAGTCATCCTCCATGAAGATGTTGACCCAACTGACCCAAACTTCTCTCGAATGAAGTCATTATACTACAGACATACATGAGTCTTTGGGCATCAAACCGAGAGACTGCAAAACAATTTGGCAAGCTTCTGCCTTCCCTGTCTTTTTGTTATTAGCTGGTAAGGCTGGTTGATATTCGACTCCGTTGACAACCACCTAGTACAGACATGTGAAGTGAGTAAAAGAGTAAATGATGTTTCAAATTCCTCCTTGATAAGACTCCAAAGAGAAGAGGAATGGTAACAAAGTGAAAGAGGAAATGAGAAATTATTCGGCTCTAAATTCTCAAGCTCTTGTTCACTTCCTGATCCAAACATTCTCATAAATTGGTATTCGAGAAGTGTACTATTCTCCATCTTCGCTTTTCTTCTAAGTTCTTAGAGCAAACTTCTGTCTTACGCTAATTACCTCCAAAATGATTTTTCCAAACATACTTGCTCCACTAATCACTAGTAAAAAAAAAAAACAATTCTCTAATGACTAAGCATAACAAAGGCATGAGCCTCAATTAACTGGCCGGTAACAAAAATTGTCAGACATTGCTCTTCCTCCGCACTAACAATAAACTCTTATTCTCGTGTCATTCTTGTAAAACGCTCTATTTCTCTAAAAAATACAAAAAGCCTTCAGTTCGTTATGTGGTGTTTGCTCATCAAATCTTCTATCTATTTTAAGGAACCAGTTACACCCATCAAAATCCTAAAACGTTCAGTTTTCTCTAGCAATTCAACATGAATTAAAATTAGTAGTTGGGAGACTTCAGCTTTTGTTTAAAAATGTACGAATAGTCGACAAGCGATATTAAGTACAAGAGAAGCTAAACTGATACTTTCCAAAGAAAGCGCCTATTATTTGAAGGCCCACTTTCATCACAGGTAAACTGCGGTAACGGCCACTTCTTCTTTGAACATAACTCCATTAAAATAGAAACTGGGTGCTTCCCTGAAATAATGATAAGAATAGTAATTTAATTTTTTATTGCAGAGATATATAAACATAAAGCGATCACCAGGAGTAAGAAGCCCGCCGCTACTTTGTTTTGTGCCTGTAACAAGGTCTTCAACAGCTACCAGACCTGTAATAAATCTTTGGTTTCTAAACACTAATATATAAAAAGTAATACAACACGACCGATCGGAACCCGCTCAAAAAGATGTAATCATCAAAACCAGTAAAGAAAAAAACACCTGTGCGAATTTAATAGCTCAGAGACAAGAAAATCCTTATTCAAATTATCTGCAATATAAATATTAGGAAAGAATCTAACCAAAGCCAACCTCTTCTATCTGATTTCACTTCCAAACTAAGAGGTTCAAGAGGACCATCACGGCATTTCCCCAAACCTTCACCAGGTGTCCAACCCATCTTCTGCATTAGCTTTAATCCGACACCACTAGACACCCTGCTAGCTGTTTTGAAAAAATCCTATAATTGGAAACTTCACAGAGGCTGAAACCAGGTCTCACTAGGTTTCTATAATTACTTTATCAATGAACAACACCTCACTGTTTAATGATACATCCGAGAATAAAGATGCTTCAGCATAATAAAGATGATAGATCAACTAAAGTACCAACACATACAAGCTGTCGTTTTACCAATTACCGAACCAAATGCAGAAGCAGAGAGCCATTCTTAATTAGAAAAACTTTTTTGAAATTACAGTTAAAAGGCCGCTGCACAACGGGATTATTGTTACACAATACTGCTTTAAGAATTCCAGGCATTTTTCCCCAGCCCATAACGCTGTAACATTAATGGAAAGCGCAGTCCTGCTTCCAATATCCAAATACACTTTTTACGAAAGGAACAAAAATAATGGCATAAAGTTTCGCAAAATCGGCTACCAGCAATTACATCTAGACTGAAGTTGTAACTATCCATTAACGCAGTTTTTTAAAATATTTTGTAAAATATCATTTGGGGACCTGCAAGTGGAACTTTCCAGCAGATAAAAACGAAAATAATGGCAAAGCACGACAAAATGCGTTAAAACGGTCAACGGAAATGACATCAGAGACTTCAAAACGGAAATGCAGAACTTAAATAAATTGGTAATTGGAAACTCAAAAGTATTAAACTACAGAACTCCTTAAAGGCAACTTATTACAAATTAATCCCTGCTCACAACTGAAGTCAATTCAGTCTACAAGGTTTCATCTAAAAATTGCTACTCTACGGAAAAAATAATTTATTACTAAACATTTTGGAAATTTATTATCCTGATGCCCGGACTCAAACACAGTTCTGACAAATTTCCACTGGAGATTCACAAAAAGCCTGAATCCTCCTTAACGGTAAACTCTTTAAACGAGCCTTGTCAAGCTTTTTTTGAGATTTCACCACTTTAAAAATTCTTTGGAATTAAAATGCCACCAAAAGCAAAACCACCCTAGAGAAAACCTTTTTCAGTTTAATTTTATTCATTTGCCCTAACAGCAAGACTGACAATTAAGAAACCAGTAATCCAAACACCTTTGGTCCTCTAAAAAAAAATCACTAACCTGGTTAAAATGTCTCAGACTTCGCTCTAGACTGTGAGATTTTCACAACTAGCAACCTCAAAATGCTCAAAAGTACCAGATCTGCAAACCATGCGAAAAACTTCCTTTTGTCCAGAACATTATGGCAAATAAAGAGCGCTACAACTTTGAAATATTAAATCCTTCTCTAATCCCCCCAGAACGGTATCTACCACCTACAAAAATTTGAAACTTTCAAAGATGTGAAAATACAACCTTCCGCACAAAGTGAAATTCTTAAAGCTTACTGTTGTCGCCGTAAAACCAAGAATAAAAATTAAAAACTGTCTATTTACCTAAAGCAACTTTCGTCCTCAGATTAACAGCATTCTCAAGACTCGATAGACTTTTACGGTGCAACACCATCTGTGTACCACAAATTGGAAACAACGAAAAGTGATGCACTTTCCAAGACATTCCATAAATATTATACAATAAGAATTCAGAGTCTTGTCTTTAACAACACAACAAATGTACAAGAAAATCTAGATATTTAGGCGTTATAATTATAAATAGTTTAACTGTAAGATAAATAACAGTGCAAATAAATAAACATTTTTCAAATATCTCGTCTCCACAAAGCATAATAACTTCTGCAAGTGATATCGCAAACAGCACATCTGTGCAAACAAAAACTTCACAAACAAAGACCCTAATAACGGTTTTGCAGTAGACCGTTGCAAATAACAATACTTCCCGAGAAGCAACGTTCTATAAAATCAGTAATTAGTTTTAACAGAGCAGATAAACAAACCTTCTTTGCCCAAGCACTAAATCGAGCATCTTCAGGTCCAAGCTGATTCACCGTTAAAATCCGGACTTCTGTAGAACCATAAAATTGACCTAGGCGCATCTTACTCGCAGCCCAAGCATTAACCTAAACATTGCAATCATTAAAACATAGACATAAAACATACAAACATAACTTTATCATACAAACAACCCCTCCAAAACCATAAACTAATCTTTTAAAGAATCACCAATTATATTTCGTCGTCCCGTACTCGATAACGAAATCATGCTCTGGTCAAAACTTGCAGACAAAGACTTAATCCAAATAGTAAAGACCAAAAATTCCCACGCCCTCAACCTTTCAGTAACATTATGAAAGCAGAGGTAAAGACAAAATTAAAATTTATGACGATTGCAAAAACCCTATCTCGCTATAATTTCAAAACGACGTTCAAATCCAAGGCACACAAACAAGGAAACCTCAGTAAACAACTGCCACAGAACGCTCCTCTCATCATAATCGACAAATATTCAAAATTTTAGAGACGAAACGACAAAACTTGATATAACCAGAATAATGCAAATATGAGGAATAAAAGCTTTAAATAAAAGTAACGGCTAAAATATGTATACTGATACACATAAAGGTATTAAGGAAATTAATTTGCTCATTCTTTAGTTCAGTCACCTTAATGACTCAATTCCTCACTAACAATAGTAATCAAGAACAAAACCACCAAAACCTAACTAAAGAACTTCATTAGCATCAGCTTAAGCCGATTTTAGTACAGAATATCATATCTGTTCAGAAAGTTCTGAATGACTGAACTAAAATTTTAGTATACAGATATTTAAGAAAAACAAAGCGTATATATTTCTAGCTCAACAACAACCGCTAGCTTTAACTATCTTATTCAAGAGCAAATTAAAGGTTTTTGTAAATGAGGAAGACTTGGCAAACGCAAAATCCTTCAATCTTACCAAGTTTTTGAAACTTAATTGAATCCTTTCAGTTGATCCAGAAACTTAAAATACTCAAATTCTTAACAGTGCATAATTGAATACTATGCAAATTACGGTGTCAC